ATGAAGATTTCATTTTTCAGCACGACCTGGCACCTGCTCACAGTGCCGAAACCACTGGTAAATGGTTTACTGACCATGGTATTACTGTGCTCAATTGGCCAGCCAACTCTCCTGACCTGAACCCCATAGAGAACCTGTGGGATATTGTGAAGAGAAAGTTGAGAGACGCAAGACCCAACACTCTGGATGAGCTTAAGACCGCTATCGAAGCATCCTGGGCCTCCATAACACCTCAGCAGTGCCACAGGCTGATTGCCTCCATGCCACGCCGCATTGAAGCAGTCATTCATGCAAAAGGATTCCCGACCAAGTATTGAGTGCATAACTGAACATGATTATTTGAAGGTTGGTGTTTTTTGTATTAAAAACACTTGTCTTTCATTGGTAGGATGAAATATGCTAATTTTTTGGGACAGGCATTTTGGGTTTTCATGAGCTGTATGTCATAATCATCAGTATTAAAACAATTAAAGACCTGAAATACTTCAGTTGGTGTGCAATGAATCTGAAATATATGAAAGTTTCATTTTTATCATTACCTTATGGAAAATAATGACCTTTATCACAATATGCAAATTTTTTGAGAAGGACCTGTAGCTGTCGCAGAAAAAAATCATTTAAGTTCTGTTGTTGCTGACATCTGTTGGTGGAATTGGGTACTGCACCTAGACGTGAGCATGGAGTGCACTTGACCAGTTCAGATTTATAAGCTGCATGTGTGTATGGACACGAGCAGAAAGCAAGAGTCGGAGACAACCAAGTGGGGAAGAATGGCCAATAACACCTAAATATTTGGTCAGAAGGCGCACACGGTACGTTTACATATTTTGTGTTTATATGTTTAATTTGGTTGTAGATGCAATTCTGTCAACACTTGTGTTTATATTGTGTATATAACACAGTTTTTCACAGTGTTTACTGGCAAAAGAACCTGTGTGGCAAAGAAATAATTAAAAGCTGAGAAAACATCAGTTGGACCGTGGCCTTATTCTGTACCAGACGAAAAGACTTTGGGAGCGGTTACACTCAGGGCTCTAAAAGTAAGAACTAAAATTTTAAAAGTAATTCAAAAATGTACCGGTAGCCAATGCAAAGAGATTAAAACTGGTGTTATGTGATGTATTTTCTGTGTGTTAGTTAAAAGCCTTGCAGCAGCATTCTGAACTGTCTGCTAACGATCAAGATCCTTTTTGGTCAAACAAATGAAAAGACTTATTACAATAATCCAGACGGGATGTAATAAAAGCATAAATAATAATCTCTCATTTGGCTTTTGACACAAGAGATTTAAGCCTATAAATATTTCTTAGTTGGAAAAAAAAATTTCTGATTAATCTACGAGAATGGCATTGCAGTGACATGGCAGAATCCAAAATAATGCCAAGGTTTCTGAGATTTGGTTTGACAGAAGAGGCTAATACACAAAGGTGTTGCTTAATTCCAGATATTTCATTGTCATGAGCAATAATTAACGTTTCAGTTTTATCACAATTAACCTGCAGGAAGTTGTCACTGAGCCACTGTTTGATATTGCTAATACAGTTTAACAAGGACAACTTGCGATCTTCAGAATGTCTGAAGGAACAATATAGCTGAATATCATCAGCATGGAAATGATGAGACACATCTGAACTTAACACACTATGTAAAAATTGTAATACACTGCCATGATCACAGAGTAAGATCCACTCTTCTGTAAATGGTTATTACATTAAAGTTGTTTTCCCCTGGAGTCAAAGAAATTAAGGTATTTTATTTTGTTATTATTATTTTTATATATCAACAAATATTTAAAATCTTGCTCTACACTAGAAATGTTTGACTTGGAGAAAACACAGTTTCAGACACATTAAGTTGCAGGCAGTGCTGCTTTAATCATGTACCATGAAACAGAATTTGTCAGGTATTCAGATATTAGTCTTCAGGTGTTGCCATGTATATACATTACAGTATCATCTGCATACATTTGAATGTTACAATTGCCAGTGGTAGAAAAAGTAGTCAAACAGTGCACTTAAGTAAAAGTACAAATAAACAGACACAAATGTACTCTAGTAAAAGTAGAAGCACCACATTAATGTTTTTACTTAAGTAAAAGTAAGTAACCCCAAATATCTGGCGTCTGTACTCATCTCTTTAGTTGGCAGCTCAGAACACCACATACAGAACACCATGGACTTTGTGGATAAGGTGAGGGATGTCATCATGGAGACTGATGAAACAATGGTCTCTTTTGATGTCACATCACTCTACGTGCATTCCTGTTGATGATGCAGTAGAGGTGGTCAGTTTAAGATTAAAATCAGACACCACTCTGAGCAGCAGGACCACGCTTTCCACAGAACAACTGTGTCAACTCTTGAAACTGTGCCTGCAGTCAACCTACTTCACATATGGGGAGCAATATTATAGGCAGAAACATGGGTGTGCTATGGGGTCTCCAGTTTCTCCTATTGTTGCCAACCTGTACATGGAGGAGGTAGAAAAGAGAGCCTTGACGTCCTTTTCAGGGACACCACCAAGTCATTGGTTCAGGTATGTTGACGACACCTGGGTGAAAATCAAATCTCGGGAAGTCCAATATTTTACTGACCACATCAACTCTGTGGATAAATACATCAAGTTCACACGAGAAGATGACAAAAATGGCAGGTTGGCTTTCTTGGACTGTGAGGTTTCAGTCTCTGATAGAGGACATTTGCAAACTGAGGTGTACCGCAAACCCACCCACACAGACCAGTATTTGCAGTTTGACTCCCATCACCCTTTGGAGCACAAGTTAGGAGTCATCAGGACTCTGTACCACAGAGCAGACAGCGTCCCCACTAACTCAGGAGCCAGGCAGAAGGAGAAATCCCACACAAAACAGGCTCTAGAGCAATGTGGATATCCTAACTGGGCCTTCCTGAAAGCAGAGAAGAAACCCAAACAGGACCCCAGTCAGCCAACAGGTGAAAAGGAGGAACCCAGACCCAGACCAGTGGTCATTCCGTATGTTGAGGGAGTATCAGAGAAACTGAGACGTTTATTTTCTAAACACAACATCCCAGTGGCTTTTAAACCCCAAAATACATTACGGCAAAGACTGGTTCATCCCAAAGATCCAGTCCCCCGGCACAAACAGAGCAATGTTGTGTATGCTGTTCAGTGTCAGGAGGGCTGTGATCAGTCTTACATCGGGGAAACTAAACAGCCACTGGCCAAAAGGATGACCCAGCACAGAAGATCAACATCATGAGGCCAGGACTCTGCGGTCTACACTCATCTCCAGGCCAGCGGTCACTCTTTCAGGGATGAAGATGTTCACATCCTGGACAGAGAGGAACGATGGTTTGAGAGAGGAGTAAAGGAGGCCATCTTTGTGAAAAGAAATCGTCCATCATTAAACAGAGGTGGAGGCCTCCGGGTTCAACTGTCCCCCTCTTACAATGCTGTGATTGCTAGTATCACTCAGCCCTCTGTGAACAGTAAACAGCCATCAGTGTGCTAATGATCCATTGTTAGGCTGATGGTCCTTCTTGAGCATGTGATCAGCTGGTTTTGGTTGTCAGCAGCAAACTGGTTGATCCACTCTGAGAAGGTGCTATTTAAGAGACTGGGCTGAATACAGCACCTCAGACTGAGGAAGTCTCTTGGATGAGAGACGAAACGTTTCTACATTTTTTTTGCTTTGTTTGGTTTTTTTGAATGTCCAGAGGACCAGATTGAACTTTTTTGGATGTCTCTATTTATGTTCCAATAAAATAAATAATGACTTTTTTTGTTGTTTGTATAATTTTATGATAATGCTTTTTCTGCGTTCTTTCTTCAGTGCATGTGCGCATGTGACAGTATGGCCTGCATGAATGCATTTATAAATCTAGTGTTTTGTTGTTGAAATATTTATGATTTAAAAAATGTGGGTGCAGCTAATTTTTTTTTTCTTCTTGTTAGAAAGCACATTACTTGCTATGCAGGATTTGTTATTGTGTTATAAAAACAATTCTGTTTGTACGCATCCTTTGATTATCTATTATTGTCTTTGACATCACTCTTTGTTAAAATCAGGTCTCTCTAGTAAATGAGTCCCCGAGGCTCAATGGGATTAACCTGTCTAAAATAAAGGTTGAATGAATGAATGAATGAATGAATGAATAATTCAAATGATTTGACCTGATAAGAAAAGTTACTTTACCGTAACATCCAGTGTGTGCGCGCAGCTACATTTGAGCTTTGTGTGTGTGTGGACAGTGGTATACGTCTGTTGTCTTTCTCCACTGAAAAAGAGAAATAATGTTGTTATAGAGAAAATAGAAGAATGTGTTTCTCTTTTTCAGTGACATGTCCTCTCGAAATATCTCGAAACGAAAGCGTGGCCTCATCAGTTTACGGCAGCCCTGGAACGCGGCGTAACCTTACGTGTTACGTCACATCCGCCGTCTGTCTATGGGCGCATCCTCGTTTGGGTCAAGAGTCGCTGCTGCAGGCTGAGCACGTCCACCTCGCCGGTTCTGAAGGAGTGGGTGGGATAGTGTTTTGACTCGGGCGAAAAGAAGAAATGGAGGGCAGTTTGACCGCAACCGGCGACGCGAAGCTGGACGAGGCAGTCCGGCAGTGGCTGGAGTACGACAGGGTGAGCCGAGGCGTTAGCCGCTTAGCTAACCGGTGTTAACTTTACTCTCCAAATGTAACAGGAAGAGGTTTGAATCGCACTTACGCTTTTCTACATGATCGTCTGAAGGTCGTTATTTTACAATTCAAAGTTAGACATTTAGGAACAAATAACGTGACGGTGCAACCAGAAGCCTTTATTCTGAAAAAAATCTCACTTCCGCTTCTGTGAACCTCAGAGAAGTTGCAGCGAGATGTTTAATCAGCCATGTTGAAAACTGCACTTTTGTCTTTTTCAAAGTGAAACAAATCTGTAGATGAAGACGTGCTTGCTTCCTGTCGGGTAACAATTCAAAACTGGAGTGGACTTTTAGTTTTTGATTTTTTATTAGGACGTGCCTGGACGACAGAGTCCAGTTTCCAGTTCTCCCATAACCCAGACTGGGAAAAAGTACACGGAACAAAAATAGAAACGCAACACTTTTGTTTTTGCTTCCATTTTTCATGCGCTGAACTCCAAAATCTAAGACTTTCTATGTACACAAAAGATCTTTTCTCAAATATTGTTCAAAAATGTGTGTAATCCGTGTTAGTGAGCACTTCTCCTTTGCTGAGATAATCCATCCTCATGTGTGGCACATCAAGATGCTCATTAGACAGCATGATTATTGCAGTGGTGCATCTTAGGCTGACCACAATAAAAGGCCACTCTAAAATGTGTAGTTTTACTGTTTTGTGGAGATCCAGGGGGGTCAGAAAACCAGTGAGTATCTGGTGTTTACCTCACGCAGTGCAACACATCTTCACTTAGAGTTGATCAGGTTGTTGATTGTGGCCTGTGGAGCGTTGGTCCACTCCTCAATGGGTGTGAGAAGTTGCTGGATATTGTCAGGACCTGGAACTTGATTTAGATTTATCACAGGACTCGAGTCACCTCTTGGTTTAGCAGATCAGGAGTAAACACTTTCAATCTACACCATTTATTGTCGCTCAGGATAACTTTTTTAAATTAGATTGCATAGTTTTCAGTGCATACCTTTCACACAATATCCCTCTATAGTAATTTGATCAACTGAGTGAACTTTTTTTTTTTAAAACGTTGAGATTAAAATTAAGCAAAAGTAGCAAGTAAAAGCAACAGATCTGGTTTCTTTTTGCAATAATAAATTAAATAATGCTTCCCATGAGAGATGCACAGAAAGAACACTTCAGTCAAACAGTTTATCAATCAACCTTTATTTAGACAGGTAAATCCCATTGAGCCTCGAAGACTCATTTACAAGAGAGACCTGATTTCAACAAAGAAAGATGACAACAATGGACAACAGCAACAACAATAAACAGTTATAAAAAGTCATACTGCAGGGTTTTTTTTTGGTTTTTTTTAAACAAATAGGATGGCTAAAAGGGAAAGGTAACAAAACAAACACACAAAAAAAAACCGGCTAGATTTCAAGACAAATGTAGAAAACTAAAACAGGAACATGTCAGCATTGGACCCTGCCAGGAGTCCAACAGATTCTTAAAGACACTTAGAGAGGTCAAGGTCGAGAGCTTCAAATCTTTTTGTAAGATATTCCAGGAAACAGGAGCGGAGTAGGAGAAGGCCCTTTTGCCAAGTTCAGTCCTCACTGAGGGAACACTGCAGGTAATAATGTCCTGAGAGCGCACGCTGTAGCTGCACTCACGCAGAGACATGTAGGAGGAGATGTATGAAGGCAACAGACCAAGAAGTGATTTAAAGATGAAAATGTACCAGTGAGAGAGTCTGCGTGAAGTTAATGATGTCCAGTTAACCGGTGAATACAGGGTGCAGTGGTGGGTACGATAATCACAGCCAGTTATGAATCTTAGTGCACCATGATAGACAGCATCCAACATCTGCAGGGTTCTTGTAGGAGCGTTCATGTAAATAATGTCACCGTAATCAATGGAGGGAAGGAAAGTCACAGATACAAGGCGTTTCTAGTTTTTGCTTCAGCATTAAACCAAAGATTAATGTATGTTTTTTTCTTAGAACCCCAAAACAACATCAGTGGTTCAGGATCTGGTGAAGGAGGGAGCCGTGGAGACTCTGAGGAAATGTTTCTCCTCCAGGATGGAGTTTGGTACTGCTGGACTGAGAGCAGCCATGGGCCCCGGCGTATCCTGTATGAATGACCTCACTATCATCCAGACCACGCAGGTTTGTTAACAGATGAGCTGCTGCGACACATTAAGCATCAGGTCACATGAACCCTCACACACGGCATGTTTCATATTTTTTTCCCCTCTGCAATGCTTGTCAACTGTGAGGCTCACAATCTAGTCTTTTGTGTTCAATTTTGTTTGAGATCTGTAAATACAAATGTTTTGACAATATTTAAAAGTAATTTTAACCTTGTTTAGGTTCTACAAAGCACTTTACTGTCTGTTTCTTAGGGAAAAGACTGTAAATACATGGAGAGCACTTGTAAACACACATTCATTCATACATTAGGAAGAGAGTGTGAAATGGTGCTAAAACATTAACACCATTTCACACAAGTCTGAATGAAAAATTGAGACTACACTTTCCTTTAAAGCCACAGTATAGTCTCGATTTTTCATTCAGACGTCCTGATCTAAGACAGAACATGGTATTATTTCTGTTCAAAGTTCATAATTAGATGCTTTGATTCAGAAAGATGACATAGACAATTAACTATGACCATTTAGGGATGATCTGTGTGTTTTTAACTTAGATACTGAACTTTTAATATCGACTTTCTTGTAAACCTGACCAGTGTGTCCCCAAAACTAGGCCTATCACAATAACAAATTTTGCTGGGCGATTAATTGTCTCAGAAATTATTGCGATAAACTATAATATTGTTTGAAATTTGACAATAATTATTAATTGTTGTCAAATTTAAGAATACATGTTGATAATTTGTTTTGTGTGTATTACCTGTTTTGACCATCTGATGGCATTATAAGACTGTTTGAACTGAAGGATGGATAGTAAGGGAGCGAGCTGCGTGTCTCTTTAAGATAAATGGGAGGGAGGCCCCTTGACGTGACATGGGCTGGCTGTCCTTCCTGTTTTTCGGTTCTCAAAATGACGGACACTCTGTGGTTTGAGCTCTTTAGCATAGCATTTTTCACACAAAAGTTTTAATAATAAATCAGTAAACAAGTTCTCAGCTTCTTTTTGCAGAGAAAAACAACTTTTACACGAAGGCACGAGTTTCAACTGTGAATTTTGGAACTTAGACAAGACGGAGGTTTTTTCCCAGAGGTCGGCCTGTTAGCTTAGCTCGTAGTTTAGCTTCTCAGCTTAGCTGCTTTTAACTAACCGGATTGTTAAAATGGATTTTAAAGAGAAAGGGAGGGGTCATTGAAGAACACCGGCGTTGAGCCTTTTGTCATCCAGTGTCTTCAGTAGAAAGAGAGAGACACGAGAAACCGATGCATGAAACTGAGGTTGATTATTTTCATTTATCATGCGATTAATTGATTTGTTTATTGCGACAGGCCTACCCAAAACTTAGTTATCAGTTAAAATCCTCAATGGAAAGCCCCCAAAAGTTAGACTTGTGTGGTTTATAGAGTAAAATTGTTTGACAATTGGAGATTTTCAGCCTGAAAATGAAAGTTTTGCTTATTATTACTCAATACCAGTCTATCCATCAGCATGAGCGCAAGTTGTTCCAGTTAATTATTGATAATTATCTTTGTATTGATGCTTTACCCAGACATAAACCATTGGTTATGAATGGCTTTGTTCAAATGACGTGTCTAAACATGTTTGTTTTTTGCTTTTCATCTTAATAAACATTCGTACCTTTCTTGTCAGGGTTTCTGTTGCTACCTGGAGCAGAGTATTGGGAACCTTAAAGAGCGAGGTGTGGTGATTGGGTACGACGCTCGGGCCCACCCTCCCAGCGGGGGCAGCAGCAAAAGATTTGCCAGCCTGGCTGCAGCCGTATTCATCAGTCGAGGAGTGCCGGTTCACCTCTTCTCTGACATCACCCCGACACCCTTTGTGGTACGCTCTTTGGTTTTTGCGATCTATACAACTGACTGAGATTTCCAAGTCAGGTCAGATTGTCTGCTGTCAGGGTGGATGGCTGCCAAGCAAATTCCTTTAAAAAAAAAAAACGACCTCACTCATTCCCCATACAGCTTATTGCACAACACATGCATGGCTCAACAGGTTGTGTTCAACAACAACATTTTACAGCTGCCATTTAACTGCATCTAATGAGCAACGTCAATATGCAACAATTAACAGTTTCAATATTTTTAGGTTTGTTTTTTGTTTGTGTATTTTAAATGCATATTATTACTGCTGATTGTTTTTGTCATGTTCTACTTCCTGCAGCCTTTCACAGTTTCTCATCTGGGTCTGTGTGCTGGTATCATGGTAACTGCTTCACACAACCCCAAACAAGACAACGGCTACAAGGTAACACAAAATATTGTATTAATATTAGTATTATTATTTCATGCTGCTGTATTCATTCCTTCGTACTCATCCACCCACAAAGACTCATGTCCGTGCTGCTGTTTTTTGGTGTATTATTTTACAGTATTAGTGCTTAGCGTATATCTTCGATCTTTTAGTGTATTGTTTGGCGTTTGTTTAGTGTATATCTTAGTTTATATCTTAGATCCTTATTTACTGTTTCTGTTTACACTTTATATTTTTGCTATTGTTGGATGTAACTGGGACCTTGAGTACACAATTTCATTCCACCTCATGTACCACATGTGATACTAATGACAATAAAGAACCTTGAACTTTAAAAAATACTTACCGGTAGTTTTTTTTTTTCTTTGCCAAAACTATTTCATACAGAATAGAATGTTCTATTGTTCACAAGACCCATCATAAACATGTCACTGAGCATATACCAGTAATGTTCTTTAATCTTTTACTATGGAAGTACACAATGTTTATCAGTTCACTTACGTTTCTTCTGCTGTACCAGGTGTACTGGGAAAATGGTGCCCAGATTGTGTCTCCTCATGACGTAGGAATCTCTAAAGCCATTGAGGAGAACCTGAAGCCTTGGCCAGAGTCCTGGAACACAGAGGGGATCCTGAAGAGCCCCTTGCTGAAAGACCCCTACCAGGACATTTTCACACAGTACTTTAAGGCCATTCTGAAACACTGTCACCACAGGTGTGTGTTAATGATATGGCTGTTGAGCAGCAGCATTCAAAACAGTTGCCAGCTAAGAAGAGTTTCCTACGCTATACTTTGTTGTTGGTTTTAACAGTTGTGTGATGCTGGTTAACATTTCACATTAGCTGTTGAGATTCATGCAAATACAGTTTCTACAGGAAAAATAACAAAAATAAAAACTTACAAATACAAACACAATAAAGCAAATAAAGATGACAACAAAGGGAAGAAATGTGGTCAGTCAGCTTATATCAGCGAAACTAAGGGATATCTCAGGACAAACCAGCCGACCCTAACTATAGGATTTATCAACAAAGAAAAGACTTAGATCTGACCTTAAAACTGGACAATGTGTCAGCCTCACAGACAGAAACTGGAAGTTGGTTCCACAAGAGAGGAGCCTGATAACTGACACATCTTCCTTCCATTCTGCTTTTGGAAACTCTAGGAACCACAATTAAACCTGCTCGTTTTTTCTTTTTTCCGACCAGTAAATCAATCCAGTAGGCGTGTCAGCAAATGACCAATCGACGACCTCAATTTGTCCCGAAGGTAAACACCCCTTGTCTGTGAAGCTGCTCTGCAGCTGCTCAGGGGTGTACGCCCGAGTACGAAGTCTGAACCCTCTGCGTACAGTACATGCGTACGTACGCACGCGTGAACGGACGTGCGTGGGAGTATACTGGGCGCTTTAGAGTTCTGATAAGGATGGAATAATCAGTCAATGTCCTCCGGTGAGATCCATAAACATTCTCGAGGTATGTCAAGGAATGGCCGAGAAAAACGTCTGAGGATCCAAGAGTCCTGAAATGATGACACAAGTTTATTCAGCTGGTTCCATCTGGTTATCAGTTGGAAATTCCTCAGGGAGGGGGTGGTGAGCGTCAGATCATGTTCTCCAGGTGAATTCAGATAAGATGGCCTTCAAGGCCAGCCAAGGGAGCCAAATTCAGATAAACACACAGTTGTTTTGAGGACAGGCAGAACTTAATGACATCTATCTTGAGTCTGTGTTGGTCGACTCGGTTCCAAAATGTCCAAATTAAATGGCCACACCGATGAAACATGGCTGAGTAAAATCCCCAAGATCTGATACATTCAGCCCAAAGTATTTGAGTCTGGGTACTCGAGACACGAACCAAGGCATCAAAAAGGCAAGCAGCGTGATCGGGTCCAAATTTGCTGCAGACGACTTCCTTGATTGTAGATAAAACCAGCAACCAGCCGAATCCAAAAGCAGGAACCAGTTATCACAAATCCAATTAAATATGTGTTCTTAAAATCCACAAGTGGCAGCAGAGATAGACGCATCATCAAATCTTCCAAGTCAATGAGATATCCAGCTGCGTGCGTGCCAACAGGGCAAATCGGCTCACCTAAAGCATGTCTTCTCTTCTAATAAATGTTGTAAATTGAGTTGAGGGACCAACTGATCAAAACAAGTCCATAATTATGGTTCGGAGGATATGCAAGAGAGTCTCACAAGCAGTTTCACAGACAGACAGAGCAGCAAAGCGGAGAGGGAGGGGAGAAGCATCTGATCTCGGCGAGAGCCAGTGGCAAATCTTTTAATTCCAATATCATATTCAAGTCTCTGTAGTAGAATATTATGATCAGCTGTATCAAATGCAGCACTTAGGTCTAACAGGACCACTGTAGACACCTGTACATTGTCAGAGGCCATGAGAATATCATTAGTAACTTTCACCAGTGCAGATTCTGTTCTCTAAACCTTGACTAAAACTGCTCAAACTCTTAATTTATGTCCAGATATTCACACAGTTCCTTTGCAACTGTGTTTTTCAACAGTTTTTGAGATAAAAACTGGTCAAGACTTATGGCTGTAGGTCTTGACCATAAAATTACTAAACATACAAAAAAAAATTATACTCGCACATACATATACATATTAGATTAGAATTGTAGACTGTGGATGTAAAAAATATACAAAATGTTTAACTTCTATCTTCGCAGGGAATTAAACAAGTCATCAGAGGTGAAAATCGTGCACACATCTGTGCACGGCGTGGGTCACACGTTTGTCCAGTCAGCTTTCAAGGCCTTTGATCTTCACCCCCCGTATGCTGTGAAGGAACAAAAAGATCCAGATCCTGAATTTCCCACAGTGAAATACCCCAACCCTGAGGAAGGAAAGGGAGTCTTGGTGAGAACCAGATGTACAGCATCCAGTCGCGAGCAGTAGACGCTGCGTTTTGTTTGTTTTGTAACAAATGTTTGTTTTGCAGACGCTGTCATTTGCCCTTGCAGAGAAGGAGGGAGCTTCTGTAGTGTTAGCAAATGATCCTGACGCTGATCGGCTGGCTGTAGCTGAGAGGCGGGAGAGGTTTGTGTTTTTCTACCTAATTTGTTGAACAGAACTGTACATTTTCCTCCATACCTCACTCTCCTTCAGATTATTCCTTCAATTTGACTTTAAATGGAAACAATTGCACTAGCTTAGTCCAGATTGTCACATTTATCACATTAGCTTGTTGGAGGATGAAAACCTGATTCCTACACCATGTACCAGGTCCGAATAAATAGCAGCAGTCCTGATTAAAGTCCAGCGCCATGGTGGGTGAAATGCTGTGATCACGACAGACTTGTCTGCCTGCGTGTCCATGAACTCGCTGCCTCTCTCTGTGCCTCAGCGGACAGTGGCGAGTCTTCACTGGTAACGAGCTGGGAGCGCTGCTCGGCTGGTGGATGTTCCACTGCTGGAAGGAGCAGAACTCCGAAGTTACCGCCGTGAAAAACGTCTACATGCTGTCGAGCACCGTGTCATCTAAAATACTGCGGGCCATCGCTCTGAAGGAGGGCTTCCACTTCGAGGTAACACCTTCAAGTTTATAACTCATTTCACGTCACAAGTTCTCTGGTTTATAAAACGAAGCGCAACTCCTGAAATAAATGTTGAGTCATAGTTTGTCGCAATGTTTGAACAGGAAACCCTGACAGGATTCAAGTGGATGGGGAACCGAGCCAAAGACCTTTTGGACCAGGGCAAGCTCGTTCTGTTTGCTTTTGAAGAGGCTATAGGTATGCACACTAACGATGGACACGGGTTGAGTCACAAGATGGGGGGGTCTAATCTGAGAGCTCATGTTCATTTTGCTCTGTCAAGATGTGTCCTGCTTCTTTCTTATTCCTAAACATGCCGATGCCAAACTGAAGGCCTTAATTCTTTCAGGTGACACAAAAGGGACCAGATTTACCAACTGGAACTGGCTCCAACTCGGTTTCTTCCATAAAATAACAATTGCTGTAAGGATTTATTCAGAGTATAGAAAAGTGCAGTGAAGAGTTGCCATCAGCCCGGTGGGAAACAGCTGTTTCAACTGTTTTGTTGTTTTTGTGTAAATTTTTACTTGGCAACAATAACTTCTTATTTAGATTTTTGTCGTTTCTGAACCAGAACAATTATTTCATCGTCGGCTTTTTTACTTACATTCTTACAAGTGGTAGAAAATGTTTCCTAATGCCCAGAAAGCTGAATTTTGCTTCATAGCGGTGCACGCCTGAAGGTTTTTAATTGTGAATCAGTACATTTGGCCCCTTGGACCCTTAACTGGGTATAAAAAGTCATTCACGTGTCTTAGATCCTCCAACTATGTCTTAAAATTAAATTTTTAGACAGCTGTTTGCGGCCTGTCCTTTGTTCCAGAGAGAAAAGACTTAACTACTTCAGATGTTCTTCTTCTGGCCTCCTTCAGCACACTGAAGTGGACTCTTGAATGTAGGACAAAAATAGCACAGCATCCTTCATTTTTTATAGGAAAACCTGAATTGTAAATGATCAGGCTCGAGTCTACCAAGGATCTCAACCTTTTGGACAGTTCTGTGCTCTCGGTCAGACACGAAGCTCTTGGTTAAGGTGAACTGTTTTTGGGTTAAGCTAACGTGCGGTTTCACAAACGTGCACAACATGACAAAGATTACGATGCTGTAAATGGAACCACATGCCGTGGGGAGCGCTGTTATTAAAGGAAACGGCAGCTGACTGCAGCAGCTGGGCTGTTGCTCACACTGTGCGTGCGTGTGTGTGTGTGTGTGTGTGTGTGTGTTGCAGGGTACATGTGCTGTAACTCGGTTCTGGACAAGGATGGAGTGAGCGCAGCAGCCATCGCAGGAGAGATGGTTTCTTATCTGGCTGCAAAAAACAGGAGTTTGTCTCAGCAGCTCACCACCATCTTTAAAGAGTAAGATGCACGAGTATCTTTTCGTTAATTTCCTTCGCTGCAGATGAACTCATCTCTGCACTCCTCATCGTCAGGTACGGCTACCACATCAGCAAGAACTCCTACTTCATCTGCCACGATCAGGACGTGATCCACAGCTTGTTTGAGCGTCTGCGCAACTTCAGCGGCAAGAACGACTCGTACCCCACCGAGTGCGGTCGCTTCTCCATCTCCGCCGTTCGAGACCTGACCACCGGCTACGACAGCAACCAGCCCGACAAGAAGGCTGTGAGGACACGAGCACGTGCAGAGTTCCTACGATCAGCTCATTTCTGACAGGAAACTCTTTGGTTGACCTTTCACTCCTTCCTCTCAGGTTCTTCCCACCTCCAGTTCCAGTCAGATGATCACGTTCAGCTTCTCCAACGGAGGTGTGGCCACCATCAGGACCAGTGGAACCGAGCCAAAAATCAAATACTACACTGAGCTCTGTGCTGCTCCTGGTAACAGGTAGGTCCACGCAAAGGCCAGGGAGTGACATGATTATTGATTTAAGTGTGGTATGGTAAGTATAATACCTCAAAATATAATAATTAGAAACAAAATATGCGTTCTATATCATGTACATCTATAGTTGCAGACTGAGCATTGTTGGATTTTATACCTGGATTATCGAGCATGGACTTTGGTCTATAGTTGACTACTTTTTAAGATTCAAAACCCAAATAAATGTTTTTCTTTCACACTAGAGGGAATCAAACAAAGAGTTTATAAATTTGTTAATGTCTTAACTGGAGCAGGCAACTGTAATTATTCGACATAAATAACCAACTTTGTTTGTCCTTCTTCTTTTGGTTCTTTCACAGTGATGTGACGCACCTGAACAAGGAGCTGGATGACTTGGTTGACGCCATCGTAGAAAACTTCTTTGAGCCTGAGAAGAACAAGTTGCAGCCCAAGCCCGAGTAGAGCTGCAGAAGACTAAAATAACAAGAAAAACATTTTAGGCCAGCATTTCACCAAATGTCTTATTTATTCCAGTAGACGTTCCTGGGTTAATCTTAGATTTTTACCTGTAGAGACATTTTACAGGATATTTGGACCAGTAAAGATCTCAACCTTTGTTTTTTTTTTGTTTTTTAAATAATTTACCTTTCTGACAACATTTAACCTCAACTTTGCATTTGTGCAGCCATAATCTGAATTTTGGAGCTTGAAATTAAGGATGTGCATTCTTTTTAATGGTTATATTTTTATGGCCACTGCCATGAAACCCTGTTTTGATTTTCATGAGCGTTCGCTAAATTTCTCATGAACCACTGGACAGATTATAGATAAACTCAGAAAGTAATGATTAGATGTTCATCTACAACTGATGATCTTTTGAAGGGGACTTGGTTTAAAATGGCCACTACAGCTACGCAACCTTAGCCAACAAAAATAGTAAGTCAAATCAATTTTACACATATTAAGCACAAATGTAATGTTTTAGTAGCTGGGACGTACTCTGAGCATTGCATGAAAATTTCAGCATGCTATGCACATCCAAGGAGTTTTGTTTTATAGTACATCATTCCAAAACATTGACCACATGGATAAGTTATTCTTCTCACAGGACATTCCTGTTTCCACACGATGTCATGATCCAATCAGGCTGCTGTATATCCCCTGCACATGACGATAATCTAAAAAACACTGTTTTTACACTTCGACTGCACTGCTGCTGATGGAAATGGTTAGAGGAATGTTCATTTTACTGTGTTCTCTTGTGTAAACTACTTTTACTGTGTGCCGTCTCACTAAAGGAGGTGGCTGTGAGGGCAGTTTTAAAGCTTTAAATAATACAGATGAGGGGAAAACACTTAATTGTAAACGTGTAAAACATCTGCACCTCCATGCTTGGAGCGCCACCAGGTGGAGCCAGTGTGCATTGATTTTACAGCCCAGAGCTCTGAATGTGTCTGCTGCTCTATGAGCGTTGTGAATGGGAGTGAAGTACTGTGCATGTGAGCATTTTTGACCCAATAAAAGAAACTGGTCGTGCGGTAAATGTGCAGTGCTGATTGCTAATTGACGCCAGGTGTGCAGGAGAGTCCTGCAGCGCGTGCAGGCAGCGTGCACTTGTCATGCAGAGGAGGAGGGAGCCCCGTTTTCTATATTTAACCGGAGCAGCGTAAAGGTCTGAGGTGCGTGTGCGCGTGTGCAGCCCCCTCTCTCCTCCTCTTCCTCCATGCAGCGGGACTGACAGGTGAGGCTGAGAGGATTCAGTCCACGAGTCGCGCACCTGAAAACATTACCTGTTTGTTTAAAAGCGAACATTTCGACGGTGAAATGGGACTTCCGTTTGATGTCTGCTCCTCCAGCTGAAGACTGAAATATCACGGGTCAGCTGCGAGCTGGGTAAACACGTCCTTTACTTTTGTATTTTCTCTGAAAGATGTGACGTCTGTAAATATCCTTGTCTTGTCCCGCTATCCGCTTCATCATGGTGGTTTTTACTCTCGTGACAGGCTGAGAGTTTATAAAATCCCTGTTCGTGTTTGTCCTGATACTCCAGAACCACTTGGTAACGTTGATTGGTACTTGGACTTAAAAGAGCCTTTTAGAAGTAAAGATGGGCAGAGGTTCACCAGTCTAAGAGTTCTGACCGAACAGACTTTGAATCGTACTGTTCATATCATATCAATATTCAAGAATCTGGATAAATCTCTGAAGGACAAGGCTGAAAGTCATTAATGGAAACACCCTCAGGGCACTAGACTGGTTATTTTCCTGGCATCACGTCATTGACACATTTTACAAGTGCTTCAAGCTCCATCGTGCAAAGTTGTATGTGAACACCATCCAGAAACTGTTTTCTCTGAGTCCAAGCTCATTTACAATGGACTATAGCAATGTGGGAAAATTCCAAAGTTCATGCGCATTAAGTAAGTAAGTAAGTAAACTTTATTTATATAGCACTTATCATAGATACAATCACAAAGTGCTGTACAACAATAAAAAATAAAAGCTTAAAATGAAATAAAATAATAACAACTCATTAATAAAAACAGTAAAAACAGCTGAAAAAAAAAACAGTAAAACATTTAACTAAAAGCTTGACGAAATAAAAATGTCTTAAGCTGCGTTTTAAAAGAATCAACAGAGTCGTTCACACGGAGAGACAGGGGCAGGGCATTCCACAGCCGGGGGGCTACGGCCTGAAAGGACAGGTCACCCCGAGTTTTAAACCGGGTCTTAGGAACCTTAAGAAGGTTCAGCGCTGAAGACCGAAGGGTGCGGGCTGGAGAATAAGGAAACAACATTTCAGTGATGTACTGGGGGGCCTGTCCATTTAAAGCTCTAAAAGTCAAAACTAAGATTTTAAAATTAATTCTAAATTCAACAGGCAGCCAATGAAGAGAAGATAAAACTGGTGTAATGTGAGCCCTTCTGTTAGTTCCTGTTAAAAGCCTCGCAGCAGAGTTCTGGACCAACTGGAGACGAGCGACGGCAGTTTTGTTAAAACAAGTAAAAAGGGAATTACAATAATCTAAACGAGAAGAAATAAAAGCATGAATAATCATCTCCAGGTCAGATCTGGATAACATTGCCCTTAGTTTAGAAATGTTTCTCAGATGATAAAAGCAGTTTTTTACCAGAAGCTTTGAATGTTTGTCCAAAGACATGGACTGGTCGAACAGAACACCGAGGTTTCTGAGGTTCGGCTGAGAAGAGGAGCCCAGAGAACCGAGGTGTTGTTTAATCCAAGGAACTTTCTGTTCAGGGGTAATGATCAGGGTTTCCGTCTTGTTAGAATTCAACTGAAGGCAGTTGTTGGCTAACCACGCCTTAATATGGGAAACACAGTTTACTAATTCAGCTAACTTATGTAATTCTGAGTCATAAAAGGAACAGTACAGTTGAATATCATCAGCATAGAGATGGTAAGACACATTTCTGAAGCTACTGATAATCTTTCCCAGGGGGGTGATGTACAGAAGGAACAGAATAGGACCCAACACTGAACCCTGAGGAACACCATTCAGTAATGGAGTGGTCTTAGACTGTATGTTATTAACAAACATTGAAAAGGTTCTGTTGCTCAGATAAGAAGAAAACCACTTAAGAACAGTTCCAGAAAATCCCATCTCATGTTGCAGTCGATGTATCATTATTTTGTGGTCGACTGTGTCAAAAGCTGATGATAGATCCAATAAAATCAAAGCACTGCTCTGACCAGAGTCTGCAGCCATCAATATGTCATTGGAGACTCTTAATAAGGCAGTTTCAGTGGAGTGCATCTTGCAGAAACCAGATTGAAACTTATCAAGAATATTATTATTTTGCAAGAAAGTAGTCATCTGCCCAGCCACTAACTTCTCCAGAATTTTGGTGAGAAAAGGTATTTTTGATATTGGCCTGTAGTTGCAGAGCTCAGTGGGGTCCAAGTTGGGCTTTTTCAAGATCGGATTTAAAATCGTTTGTTTCAAAAAACTTGGAACTGACCCGGTTGAGAGAGAAATGTTAATTAATTCTGCCACATGGGGGCTGATAATATCAGACACCTTTAAAAACAACAAAACAAAAACATTAATCCCAGTATAAATCCAACAATATTCAGTCAGTCATCTGGATGGTTTCTTTTGTTGCAGAGACGTTTCGTCCTTCATCCGAAGGACTTCTTCAGTCTGAGGAGCCCACCAAACCAAACTGAATCCCACTAGGTCACTCCCAGAGTGAAGTGGAAAAAAACTAGTGGAGCTGTTTGTGGGATTCAGTTTGGTTTGGTGGGCTCCTCAGACTGAAGAAGTCCTTCGGATGAAGGACGAAATGTCTCTGCAACATAAGAAACCATCCAGATGACCTGACTGAACATTGTTGACTGTGGAAAATCGTTGTGTGGTCAGACAAATTGAAATTTGAGCTTCTACTTGGAAACCAGAGTGGAGTATCTGGAGTGATAATAGGAAGTAGCAAGAGATGGATAGACAGATTGGGGCCTTGTTCTCAGTAATGAGGGTGTTGCTTTGGTCAGTTGTGGTGATGAGTTGAGCTAAAAGGTAAAACTCTCAATTTAATTTAATTCAGTGTACGTAGCACCAAGTCGCAACGGATGTTAACTCGGGGAACTGAACAAAAACATTGGCATGCACAATAATAAAAGTTATTTAAGGATCAAAGCCAGCAGGCTGCGTCGAATCTTCACTTCGTCGCAGTCTCCCATTCTGAGCAAGCTCAAAGGCAACAGTGGAAAGGAAAAAGGCCCTTTTTAACAAGAAGAAACCTCCAGCAGAAACAAGCTCAGGATGAGCGGACATCTGCTTCAACCAGCTGGGGTTTGAGAGGACAGGAACACAGAAGGTCCAGGTGCATGTACTTTCTATACGAGGAAAGACGACAAAAAAACATGTTAAGATAGAAATAATTACAAACAGGTTGAGTAAAGACCACAGTAGACTGAGGAAGCCTCCATTTTTCCTCCAGAAGTCTAAGCCTATAGCAGCATAACTAAGGGATAGAAACCCAAGTCAACCCTAACTATGAGATTTACTGGTCAGTCTGCATTCTAACCCCCTCAGACCTGGAGGCTTGGCTCAAGACTGAAAGAACGAGATCCTGGAAACGAGCGGCTGAAATGAGCTTCATTCACAGGGTGGCCAGGCCCGACCATTATTATCATTATTGTTTGCTTTTGTGGGTTTATTGTACAATTTGAGCTGCTATAGTATGAAGGGCACTTAATAAATAAAATTTATTGATTGATAGTCTGGGAACACCTCAGTGCCCCCCCCCCCCCACCACCCCCAGGAGGAGCTGAAAAGTGTTGCTGGGGAGAGGGAGGTCGTTTCTCTCCTTGACCTGTGTCCTCCATGACCGGACTACGGCTAAACGTTAGAAGATGGAAATGGATGTTGTGTTGTCTGAACTAAAGTGGACAGGAACCATCTGGTCTGTTGGCAACTCGCAGTTCACAAACCTGCCTCTCTGATGGTATTGGGGTACATTAGTGCCTCTGGAATGGACTGCTTACTCTCACTGTAGAAATGGTATGTATAGGTTTTAGAATGGCATTCTTTAGATTCCAGAAAAGACTATTAAGTGTTGAACAGCTAGAATCCAACATCAACAAGAAAGGGACAGCATTCCCCTCCAAACCCCCAGCAACTGGTCTTGGGTCCTAAACATTTACAAACTGGTGTTTAACAAAGAGGGGCTGCTTCGCAGTGGAAAATATGGCTCTGTCCCCACTGTTTGAGATGTTCTGGCAAAGAGATTCAAACTTATCTTTTCACAAATTGTACAATTTCTTAGTTTACACATTTAATGTTTACTGTGTACCTTTTTTGTTATTAAAATGTGTTTTTGAAATTTAACATGATGTCCCAACTTTACAAGAATTGGGCTTTTATTTAATACCTGTTTAGAGGAATGTGGGTTTTTTTAGGTGATCAGTTTAAATAATTTCTTGTTGATGTTTTGCAGGTAAAGCAGAGGCAAACATCTGCCTCTGGACTCTGAAGCCACCATGGACGGACTGTTCTTCGAAGTGAAGCCAAAACGTGGTGAAGCCCAGAGGCTTCGAAGCCTTGCCAATCCTAGTCGAGGTCTAACCCCGAACCACCACTCCTGTCCATCCCTATCACGGCTCACCTCATCCCCGCACAGTCCCCAGAGATGTTCTGGTGCTCAGGAGAGAAGCTCAACGTGGAGGGGTCAGATGGATGAGGGGGAGATGAGGTACAAGCTGACTATGATTGGTTTTCGGCCAGTCTACCATCTGACCACCATGGCAATGCTCCCCTGGGTGGTGTCAGAAATCTGCAGGGCTGTGAAGAAGGACCCAAGTTCAGGAACACCGCACATTGGAACTGCAGCGGGTCAGATGGATCCTACATTGTGCAATAAAAACGTTTTCCTCTACGTGTCTGTTTCCTGGGTACGGTGTGTGTCTGCTATGGGAGAGCAGAGTCTCTGGGACCCCCTGACCCACACCGTCCTGTTTGAGTGTCGTCCTCACCAAGTGACCAAAATGATTCACAACAGCCAGGAGCCCAGCGTGTTTGCCTG